AAAATAAGCCTCCATTTTTTTTTATGTATATATTGTATGCCTCAATAATCAAATATATGTATATACAAATATTATGATTGAATATAGTGATAAGAATAATTAGTGACTTTCCTATCGTTTTCAGCCACTGTTCAAGAATGACATTGTTTATCTTACAAATACTTTCTTACGTGACGTTCATAAGAAAACCAAAGTATACTACAGTAATTTTACACTATAAACTAATTTTGGAAATTTTTTAACGCAAATAATAGAAAAATTTAAAAGGTGACCATACTGCAATAGAAATTAATTAAATCTTATTTATCAAATTCAATTAATTAACTTTCAAGACCTAGCAAGGTCGTTCAACTCATAATTATTTCATTTTGATGGGTGTCATAGAAACACCCACCAAGTTACGACTCCAGATTTGGGGAAAGTAAAAACATCTAAATGTAGAATGTAAAATTAAATAATTTTCTTAAACTTTTTCTTAAATTTGTAAAAAGAAAAATATAATAGACTATTTTTTATAAATAACAAACTTCTTTGGCATATGATAATTTGTATAAATTTAATTATCAATCAATTAACAAATATTTATTAATAAAAATGAGGAGTAAAGAGTTAATTTTATTTTTTTTTTTAAATTTTAATCAATATATTACAAAAATTAAAAATTGAATATTGGGAATTTTCAGTATGGTGAATTTTAGGTGTTTTAAAAAAGTGAAAAAAAATTCTTTATTCCGCAATATTTTTCAGTACAATTCCGGCTACATAATATTATATTAAAACGACTGTACATATGGACATATACATATTGAAGTATGTTTAACTGAGATTGGGTTGGCATTTTAGTTTTTTGTTTTGTTTTTTTGTTTTTTTGTTACGAAGCTTTATTTTTTAAGCTTTTAAAACTTGTTCCAAATTTATTGTATCATAACTATTTGTGAAACTTCTTTTTTTTTTTGTGACTTGGAAATTCCAAAGTACATATTCAATTCCGTTCATTATATTCCGACGCAGAGTGTAACAGTCCATCCATATTTTTCAATTTTGTAAATTTGATAATAAAAATTGATTTGATAGTTATAGCTTTTACTACATACTGCTACTACTGGAGGTAGTTCCTTGACAATTTCTTGATTCAATTTTCAATTTTATAATTCTTTTATACAATGAAAAATTTTTAATTTTAAAAACTTTCAATATAATAAAAATTTTTAACAATATATTTTAGGAATCCAAATTCTTAATTTCTTTCAATAAGGCAAATAATTGTTGAACCATTACGATTTGTTGTATATTATGTATAGAATACACCTTGTAATGTATTTTTAATTCATATGAATGAAATATTACCATCATTTAAAAACACGTGAGCAACTTGCACTAAAGAATTATTTTTGAATTCTTAAAATGTGATTAAATAATTTTAATAAACTATCATCAGAATAAATTTGTGAGCGTCCATTATGTATGGGTTAAATTTATTATTTTTTTTAATTTATTGGAGAAATCAACGCCAAAGTACTATAAAAATCCAGTTTCTAAGCCTTAGAGTCCAGTCATTAATCTATATTTTATTTACGATCTTTTGTTTTAACTTTGAAACAGACTGAACAAGTAAAATTATTGTTTCAAATTTAAATTTCTGATTATGTATAAGAATTAAGCATTAAATTTTGATTTTTGAAAATTGAATAAATTTGATATTATCATTTTTCTTGTCTCTAAGAACACATACATAGATATGCTTGCAAAGTCTTTTTTCTGCTTTATTTTGATTATAAGGAGTAAAAGCTAAATTGGCTATTAAAAATTAAAAAGTATAATCAATTATAATAATTTATTTAACGAGTTTAGATATTTTGCTAACGGATATATGAATTTTTAATTATGAGGTTAATGAAAATTTAATTGATTTTTAAAATGAATTTGATTTTAAATCAATTAAAATGTCGAAAATATTCAAATTAGTTTTACTGCGTATTTGAGCTAAAATGCTTATAGTTTTTTAATGCAGTGCATAATAAACGCTGTACTATTTCCATTATACTTAAAATATTCATGATCAACACCTAGTATAAACGTTTTTGTATACTTAGTTATTATGTGTCACACCTAATCATTTTATGAATATACGAACTAATCACCTGTATTTTTAGGTTAAGGTATATAATTTTGACAAGTAAGAAAACAAAAATTATAATATAGAAATAATAAAAAAAAAATTGATAAAAACAAATTCTTATTTAAAGATGTTTAAAAAAAAAAATTAAAAATATTTAAATTCAAAATATTTTTATTGATAAATGATAACCCGTTTTGTGTTATGTTTGACGTCAAATGAAAATAAATACATACTGTATGTATGTATGTATGTAGTGGGATAACATTTCATACTGTATATTTCCTTGTATAAAAGATAATGTATATAATTTAAAAATTATAAAATACATATTTGGAAGCCATTTTTATTTATAATTATATACATAGAAGAAAAAATTATAATTTGAATTCCAAAGTTCGGGATAAATAAGTCGTTAAATTTAATATTTACCTATTTTTTATAAAATTTAGAATGTATTTAAAAATTCTATAATAATATAATATTATTATTTTCTGTATAAGTATAAAAATTAAATTAATAATTGCAAACATCTATATAGTAAGTTTGCTGATTATCAATTCTAAATTTTTATTCTGAGTCAATGTAAAATATCAAAAATTTGGAATTCGTTTCAATTATATAAAGAAGCACTTAGAGTCCATACCAGGCTTAATAAAAATTGACTTAAATAAAAAGTAATATAGATTAATAGTTTATATTCGTTAATCAAAATATTATTTATTAAATAAGTTTTACTTAACATTTCATAAGCATTTTGATAGACGTCCTTTTTTTACCAAATTATGATGTTAATGTATTTGGAGAAAACGCGGTCTCATTTTAATATCAAAGCGGTACATAAATCAAATACGTTAAGTATATTGAATAAAATTAGGCTGTAGTTTTTTTGCTAGATTACTAGATTAAGAAAAAAAATTTAAAAGTGTTACTTTTCTTTTCTTATGAAAATTTCAAACGAAAAGCTTTTTGTCTACTTATATCTCTCTTTATAAAAAATTGTCTGCTTTTATCACAACCTTTAATCAGCAAAAATGATAAAAATTTGTTAGGTTAAGTACGTCAATAAATTTTATAGTATAAAATGCTACCATAAATATTTAATAACGCATCATCTTTTAAAATTATTTTTCAAAATGTAGTTATGTTTCAGAGTAAGTTGGAAATTTCATATGCAATATGACATTAAATTGAAAACAATGAAAATTAATTAATCGTATAAGCCAATATGTTTTCTTAATGCAATTTTTTTGTTATTTATAGCGCGTTTATTTAAATATAAATTAGATAGCTAAATGTTACACTAGATCTGCATTTTAAATTAAACGATCGCCATAAATACACAGGGCTAGAAACATGAAAAATTGGTTTGCTTGTAATACGACTTGAAATGTTTTCGCACTCTTTGGAAATTCGGTGGAAATCGTACATCAATTGAAATAATTAGTTCCACAACCACATTAAATTTAATAAAAGAGGAAAAACGAAATTATCTGTGATAATAGGTAATTAAATCAAAAAACTGTTCACAACAAACATAATGATTACAAAACAAAAAAATTTAAACTATTAACATGTTTGAATTTTTTTTCCAAAGAAAAAAATTCATTTAAATATTTTGCGAGTATGTCTGTATTTCCAATATAGTGTTGTAATAATAACAATACCTGGAGTTCTGTATTAGAAAAAAACTTAACTAAAAACATGTTGTTGTATGAATAAAAAAAACCCATGTATAATAAACATTTAATTTTTTTCAAATTCAGAAAGTAGTATAATTTAAAATGTGCCCGTTAGGCGAACAAACAAATTCAATAACGAACTGTCGTCAGCACACATGTATATACGTATGTACTTATAGTGAAATTAATGTGACGTCAATTTGTCAATTTCACCGAAAACTAGGTAAAATTAAAATTATTTTCTTGATTTAAAGAAATTTTGTTTTCAAATATTTTTACCAGAAGCATTTTTCTCAGAAATATGAAAAAAAAAACAAACAAATTATTAATTTGAAAAATATCATAAACATAATTAAAAAGTAATTTAAATAATCAAAAGTTGATAATAAAAAACAAATATGCATGAATTTATCACGTGACTCATTACATTAACAACAATTAATATACCAAACACCAGTTTTCAATGACAAGATCTTAATTTTTAAGGTTTTGTGTTTTTTCAAATGATTTTGAATTTAATATAAAAAAAACCTGATTTTAAATTGGCTTATTGATATTTAATTTTACGTAAATCTCGTTTGTTGACCTGATAAATTTATTGAAAAAAAAGTTGCTTCGAAACTTTTAAAGGCTTTTAAAATATTTTGTACATAATATACATATTTACATACACACATAGTCTGCGCTCGTAGACATCATATTGACGTATTGGGAATTATAAGAATGTCATATTTTACGCAACATTAAATAGAATTATTTTTAGAATAAGCTTGATCAAAAAAATTTATAAGTAATTCTGTGTCCCTTTTAAGCCGAAATACAGGTTACATAAGTTCCTAAAAAATCCCTATACTACAAAAATATTTATAATATAAAAATATTTTAAATTTATAGATTTTATATGGCCGATTGTATATACTTAATTAGAATTATTAGAAATTAGAAATTATTAGAAAATTAAGATTTATTAAAAGATTAACGAATATTACCGAATTCGAATATTATTTATTCGAATATTACAGAATATAAAAATTTAATAAATAATCCCTTTCAAAAAAAGGGCATTTAACACTCAGTTGATGAAGTAGTTGTTTATATATGTTCCGGTAGATGGCTTCATATTTTTGATATAACACGTCAAATTCTTAATATTTAAATTATTTGTATAAGTTTTTAATAGTATTACTTATAAAAAAATTTACCTGCAGATTTCTTTTTCTCATGATTCTTATTTTCGATTGGGGGTCCTTTTGAGTTACTAATCACTGATGATGATGATTTGTTTTCAGTTGACTCTGAATTAATGTCAATCGCCTCCCAATCCATTCGTCTCTTCCGATTTATGTTATTCGAATATATTGTATGAACGTCTAATATTGTTGGACGATGTTGTTCTAAATTCGTATAAAAAAAAAACAAAAAATTATTTTATTTCTACAAGATTAAATTCTGCAATAATCTAGATACAGATAAAATTCATTGAAAATTTTAGTAAATTTCGTAATTTTATGTCCATGTTGAATATGAATGTTGAATAATATTTTTACCTTTATTATATTCACCCGGCCAAGATTCCTTTGAATTTGGTGGTGAGTCAACAAAATGTATTACGTGCTCATAATCGTTAAAATTATTCACATTTGAATTGTTATTATTATTAATATTGTGAGTATTACGATTTTGACAAACTTCATTTTCAAAATTTCGAGCAATAGTTGAATTCTGAAAGAAATATTGAAGTTTTTATATTATATTGAAACAAATTAACAATCATAAACTCAAAATAAAATTAATTTTAGTGAAAAATTTTATTTATTTTAAAATAGTTCTATGAAGAGAAATGTGTAAAAGATTAAGTATGTAAGACGGAATTAAATAGTTAAGTTTTAAAAATTTAATAGATTTTCCAAAACTTTGCATTTCATTTTTGTTTTTGGTTAATTTCCACAATAAATTATGAGACCTAAGTCATAAAAAGATGGATTTTTAATGGAAATTCATTAAAATTTGGGGCATTCATCATTAAAGGCATTTATTAAAAGGCAAGCTTATCTGTAATCTTAACCTTAGTATTGTTGCATTATTCAAGTTGACCTAAGAAGCATTGAAGACTTTCTCTTTGAAAATTTTAATGATTTTTAAATAAATACAATGCACAGAAATCATCCTCTATATTTCTTTCTTAAAATATATGTACAATATTTCAATTTACTAATTGATCGAGTTATTAATAAATAATTGAATAGTTTAAAGTTTCTCCCATCGAAATTGTGATAATAGTTTATCACAACAAAAACTTTAGGTTTTGTTTGTTAAATATTTGAAAATACGATCAATGACTTCAAAATTGTCGAAGAATGACTCTAAAATGCTACAGAATTCAGCAAACAAGCTCATAACCTGAATTTATGTATTTAATACTGCAATAATATATGCTATTTTCAAATCAGAATGGACAGTTAAATTGAGGTGCATCAACAATTACTTATGCATATATATAAAAAATGTTCATTTGTAATAAAATATAGAGAAGAAATTTTACATAATAACTATAGTTCAATAGTTTGCTGAGACTCCATTAATATTTGATTTTTTTGTAATAATTTTAATTAAATTTAAAAATTATTACAAAAAAATTACTGTAATATTCACTATTCAGCTTATGAGTTGTAATACACTATTCAGCTCATGAGTTGTACTTGCTGAATTATGTATCAATATAATATTACTGCAATTTTAAAATTAAATTATATTGAATATGAAACACGATGCATAAAATTTAAAAAGAAATACTTACTGGTTGTAAAACTATTGTATTATTATTATATTCCATTTGATTGTTGTTTTCGATATTATAATTGATAAAATTGTTATTATTATTGCTGTTGTTGTTGGTGTTGTTATTATTATTATTGTTTGAAATGAAAAAATCTATATTTGAATTTGGTCTTGATGAAGTGTTATGATGGTGATAAGTTGGTTCAAAAAATGCTTGTAAATCAGAAAAATTTGGATACTGGCACAAAGATAAAGCCATTCGAAATTGATTTTTTTTTTTAAATATTCTTTTTTAATTTTGCTTATGAAAATTGTCAAAAGATTTTTACAAGAATTCGAAGGAGTCAAAAGAGAAACAACTATTTTTTTTTTATGTAGTTTTGTTTTTATACACGGAATATTAAAAAATTTTTTATTAAATTTTCAATAGTTTTATAATTTTTATTTTTTTTTTAATTCAAATATGAATTTTCACTTAAAATATTTAAAAATATGGTCATTATAACAAAAATAAAAACACTGCAGCGAAAAGTATGTTTAATGCATATACAAACTTTTTTTTTTCTTTATTATATAATTTCTATTTTCAAAATTTATTATTAATATATAAAGTTAATTTTATAATTAAATTTATAATTTTTAGTTTCTACTATATTCATATCACTATATATATTTCAAGGTGCTATTATTGCTTTTATATATTATATGTATATTGTATTTTCATATTTAATTAAATCTAAATTTATGTATGTAAATACAATATTTATTTTTTCACTATGAATTATATGGCTTTTGAGAATTACTAAACTTAATTGATTTTCAAAAAACAATTATTTTTATTTTTTTCTTGTAAAATAGGCTAAATGAAATCAAAATATAAGTATATAACATAAATCTATGTATTTAAAATTATTATATATTATGTATATATGAAAACTAAAAACAAATAAAGATTTTATCACTATCTTGAGTGTTCTTCTTTTCTTTTTTTAAAAAAATAGTAAAATTATTATAATTTACATATACATAAGTATGTACTTATGTACATTTAAGATTTAATTATATATTTATAATAAGAACTTTATATTTAAAATTTATTATGATTATTTCACTTTCATATAGATTTATGGAAGAAATATATTATATGTGTGTGTGTACATATATGTGTACAACAAAACTTATTTATTGTAAATATAATTTTTTTTAATAACTTTTTTTGTTTTTTAAATTATTTTTACTATTATTATTAAATATTATTGGTAATCTGATCACAAATTTAAAAGAAATGTAATTTATTATATTGGCATAACAAGGGTTTTTTACACGATTTAGAATAAAACAAAAAATGAATTATAAAGTTTTTTAATTCCAGTTGTTTCTCTCTGTCTATGACTCCTTAATAATGTATTTTCAATTTTAAGCAGCATTTTGTTTATAAATTCAATAAAATATTTAATTTCTTCTTGGTTTTTTGGTAATTGTTGTATCCCCATGGATCAAATCATTAAAAAATTAATTTTAGATAATTAAGTTTCTTTTTTTTTGTGTATTTAAAATTTCACTTGTAAAATATTTTAAAAAATATATTTAAATTAAGTTTTTAAAGAAAATTATTTTCTTCTTGTGTTTATTGCAATTATTATTTGTTTTTTTTTATTTTATAGCAATTTGATAAAAATATTAAATTATTTGGTACTCGTTTTTTTACGGCGTTTCTTTAAGTACTTCGTGGTGAATACTTTTTTCGAATTAATTTTTAAATTTAATAATTTTATTATTTGAGAAAAATAAATGATTTCAATTTTTTTTTTTAATAATTTCTCTTATTTCTTATTTTAAATATTATATTTTAATAATTTTTATTATAATTAAAAATTTTTTTATTTTATTTGAAGACACGACTAAATAACACTTTTTAATACAAGTATTAATGCCTCACTACTACTATAAAAATGTTCTAACGATAGCTATATGCATTTGATCTGGATTTAATTTTCTCTCAATTTCTCTACTATTGTTTTTCAAAAAAAAAAAAAAAAACAACTGCATTCAACGTGAGTTTTTCACAATTAAAAAATTTTAATATAGAATTTTTTTGTCAAAAAACTAAGAAAGCAATTTTAATGCAAGCCATTGCTTTTTTTGTAATAAATATAACATTATTAATTATTTTTTATATATGTATTCAATTATTAATTTGTTTTTTTTTTTGATAAGTAGTGTTGGCAAATATTTTTTGCCAAAAATTTTATTATTCTCTTTCTCTGGTTTCAATTTATTAGAAAAAATTTTTTCAAAAAAAATTTATTGCTAAATTTTTTAAATATTTTTTTGCTCTTTTATTTTCTCCTCAATAAATACATTTATACATATATGTATGTATGTATGTAAATAAAACGAATTTTAAAGCAGTAAATTTTAAAAGCACAATTAATAATATTTTTTAAAAAAATCTCCAAAAATTAGCCTTTTATAACGTAAAGAAAAGCACGTCTTAACACTTTTAAGTTTTCCAATGAACTAAACTTTTTTAAACTGAGTTTTATATCGTTTACTTTAATTATACCGAATATACCGATAGATTCTATGTGTATACAATTATACTGCTACCATATACACACACTCACAAAACGGTCAACTGATAAATTTTTAAATTATACGTAACTATGCTGTATTAAAATTAATAAAATACAAAATAAAAGAAAATTTGTTTTTTTTTGGTATACGAGTATAAAAAAATAAGCGAAAAATGATCACCCAGAATGAAATAAGATGATGTTGATGTTGATATTGATAGTGATGGTAACGACACATAAGACAAATAATGAAAATTACAAAAAAAAGAAACAAAATATAAAATTGTTAATTAATATTATTTTATTATGATTTATAAATTTATACTATTACTCTAATACATACATACATTTAAGAGATAAATTTTTATTCTAATTTAAACAAAATAAAAGAAAAATAAAAATACATCAAATATAAGTAAGTTAGGTTTGTTTGTGCGATAATGAATTTTTTTTAAGAAAATTAAAAAATTTTTTAAACAATCAAATTTTTATATTTGTTTTTACTCTAAATATTGTGAAAGTCAGAAATTAAGATTAACTTTTTCTAATATAATTAATTTTTTCCCTTAGTTACCGACAGCAAGGGAGGTGGTGTGATGATTATGTCAAGTTTTCAGCAGATATGCATTTCTCTGTGATATTGGAGCGAAAATAAAGGGGATTTTCGATAATTCAGTTCTAACTTATGCACGTTCGATAAATCTAAACGAAAAAATCTGCAAAAATAGCATGTTCGAAATGAGAGTTGTGTTTAGAGGAACTTTTATACTAAAACTAAAACCACTGCAAAAATATTTTAATTAAGAAAAAGAGCATAATAGAAAAATATTGGGTGTTTAGATATTAAATGGATAGGTATTCAATTTCTGCCGATTTGTAAGTATGCACGAAAATTTAGAACTTAACAGTACATATCTGGATGATGAAAAATCTCATAAATAGTTATGGAGAGATATGGTTTTGCTTCATTTTTGGGCTGAATTTGTTGAAACTTTATGTCTGCATTTACTTTAGCAATTTCACTGATATACTGATTTCACTTTATTCCCCATGTCTAAGGAATTAATTGAGAGAATTTCTTGAATTATGGTATGTGATTTCTGTTTATAATGGAACTAATTGACGCACTTTGAAAGAAATCTCATAAAGTAAACATTTGTGTTTAAGAACTAAATTTAAATTTTTTTCAGTACCTACATAGCTATAATATTAACTTTAAACTTACCATGTATCGGTCGGTTATGTGCTGGCCGCATCAGATTTTTTTATACAATAAAGAATTTTTGTTGACAATAGTGAAAATATTATAGTTATCGACGTCTTATCATTATTAGACTATTGTTATTGACATTTTAAAGTAAATTTCATACAAACTGCAACCCACTTTTATTATAAATAAAGCATTTAGTACCTATATAAAGGAATATTTACAGTTGCAAGTAAACAATTTTCAAACAGGTATTAAACAAAAAATTTATTGTTATGTTAGTTATCCTAATTGTATATCCAACCAAATAATATGTCATCATTTTTTTTGTCTTGTTTTAATTTTACCTATACATACTATATATCAACTATGTTTGAGCTTTAATAATATTAATATAATATAATACAATATAAGTATATATATGCCCATATATAAATAATTAAAATACTAATAAAATACTAATAAATTTATAAATGTATATATTTAATTGAAGACTACATACAATTTGGGTATATTATTATCGCTATTTGTATTTATGAATACATACGTATTTACATATAAATAATGTAGTTCTTATGCGTACATAGCTTGAATATAAAGGTGCACCCACACTGATGTTAAGTGATGGCAATTTGATACTTAGCTTTTAAATCCCGAACAAAAATATTTTTTGGTAGAGCTGAATTTATTTATCTTTTATTACCTACTGTAAATATGCTGAATGTAAAATTCTCATATAAAATTTGTCAATTTCGATATAAAGTACATGAGTTTCTCACATATACTTTACAATGCAGTAGTGAATCCATATTTATTCATCCAAGTTTAATTTTTAACTTTTTATAACAAAATTTTGTTCAAATATATTCTAAAAATAGTTAAAATTCGTTAATTAGTATCTAATCGTGACCAAACGCTATCAAAATTAAAATGCTTGTTACGTAGGCATATTGTATGTATGTACTTACAATGTATGCATATTCTTAACATATGTACATACATACATATATTATTGTATGTTCCTATACAAGTACTATAATAAAATATGCCTTTGTTTTTATAACATCAATGTACAGTAAATATTTTTTAACTAATTTTAAAATTTTAGCTGTATATACGTATGAATGTACGTTCATGTGTATAAATTGTTTGTAAAGCTTTGACATTAAAATTTGATATTAGTTAAAAAATTTTGGTAAAAAGTAAGTATGACAGAAGATGAAAAAATAAAGTTTTATTGAATTTAAAATATTTTGAATAAAAAAATTTATTTCAATAGTTAATGCTCTTCATCGATGGAAAGTACAAATACTAATGTACATACACATATAGTAAGGTGTATAGTGTACCTTATTTCAAACATTTCGGTTTATTAAATTTATTTAAATTTAGGTTTATTTATCGTAAAGCTACAGTATAAAAAACCGTTATTTGTTATGTATGTAAATTTATTTAATAGTTGAATAGATTGAACTAAAAATGCGAATTGAATTTTGGCTAGCAGATTTCAAATTATCAAAAATTCATTTTGCAAATTATTAATACAAATTTCGAATACTTAAGTATGTATGTTTCAGGTTTTGGTAACTTTCACTGCCATTAAAATTTCAGTAAAACTGGATAGTTCAGCAATTACAGTAACCCAACCTAAGGTTATTTAATCCATGAAAAGCATTTAAAGAAGCGCCGTTAAAATTCTGATGAAACTTTTCTTAATATTTTATGAAAAAAATGCTCACCATCAGTACCGCATATCATTAGAAATATTTTTGGGGAATTATAAAAATTTTTCTTTTTGCGGATTAATTAATTTTCATCACTAATTCTTTTTTCATATTAAAACAATAATTTTTAAAATTTTCCATCAATTTAAAAAAAAAAATAACTAGAATAAAAACAAAAAAGAACTAAATTTAAACAGTTGGCATAATGTTTTTTTTTGTATTTTGTTGATTTCATTCTAAACTCTACAATTGAAGCCAATTAATGTGATATTGAAAGAGTCACAAAGCAATCGCCATATACATAATTTGTATATAAAATTATTTTTTAATAAATATTACATAGTATACCATACTGGTTTACATCATTTCAAAATCACTGTATTATTCTGTAGAGTATGAGCCTAATAGTAAAGGGAAACTATTAATGGAAGATTGATAGCAATAACGGTTAAAGTATTAGACTAGCTATAAAACGTAACAGCACATTTTAATATTGATCCAAAATGTTATTAATTTAATTTTAAAATGTTATTAACTTTAATTTCAAAAGTCATAGAACTAATTTTGTATAAAAAAATTGTATATTTCAAATTATGCATGTTGTATTTATGTTTGTAATAATGTACAAGAAATTCATTTTGAATTACCACTAGTCTATAATGCTACATTGAAAAACTTCGTAATGATGATTTAGTCCTTTAGCTGTGTGTAATTTCGTACAAGTTTTTAATGCTCCATCATTTGTACTTTCTACAAAAAATATTCTTCTAGCACGACTATGAATTAATGCCATTGCACACATTAAACATGGCTCTTTCAAAAAGTAAATATCATAGCCTGTACATAAATATGGTCCATATTTTTCTAAATTATTTTGTTCATCCTCACCATAAAAATCATTACAATTATTAGGAACATTTCCAACCATTTCTTTTATAATTTTATTACTATTTCCTTTTTGATTGTTAATATTTATTTTTTGTGCGCCTATTTGTTCATCTCCTAAACCACATCTTAATAATTCAACATATTCTTTTAATATTCCACAAAATTCTTTTTCATCATTCGTATTTTCTAAAAATTTTATATTTTCATATTTCCATATACCGCCATTCTGAGTTCGAGCTACAAAATCTATTAGTAGTATTGGACAATGTTTAATTTTTTCATTTATATGAAACGATGATGGTGTACCACATTGTGTGGGTGCAAGATTCGTCGACATTGCTACAACACTATTTGTTCTTGGATCAACACAAATGCCAACATTCTTATATAAGTTTTTTTCTAAATTCATTATTTTTTTAATAATCATAATAATTGTTTGATGAAATATAAGTTCGTTTGAAGTGAAATTTTCATTTTTATGTAGAAGTTCCATCTGTTTATTTGGATGAAATTTACATGGCCATATTTTGTTCATTTCTTCGTATTGCCACCGCAACAGGCTTTGTTTTGATGGTATCTGTGAAATTTATTTTGGAATGATTAACGAAATAACCACATATGCAGAAAAAAGTACAAATAACATAAAATTTTTTATACGTTTAAGGTTTTACGGCAATTTAATAAATATATATGCTCGACATACACATGTATATATATAAAATATGAATATTTTAATAGAAGATCATAAACAACTAATATGGATAAAATTATGGCTTAGTTAAAAGAAATCTGAATTTTTCAAAATACTGTTAAAAGTATATTTTTTTTTTAAAGTAGGGGGTGTTCCTATATGCATGCATAGGAACAAATTACATAATTATGCCTTGACTTCAAAAAAGCAGCAGTAACACGATTATAATTGACAATTTAGTTCAAGGTCTGTAATAATGTCTGTTATTAGATTTCTAATTACCTACGTACATATATATGTAGATATATAAGTACAACATAAATTCGTATTAGCATGTACATAATAGGTAAATCAATTACTTACATCTACTATTTTTAAATCATCACATAATTTTTGAAGAAATCCATTGTCAGAAATACCTTTAGCTTTTAAATAACCAATCAAAATTGATCTGTGAACATGTATTTTGGCTAATTTTTCATTTCGTAATATATCTAATATTTCATTGCATTCTAAGTTCAAATCTTCAATTGTTGATTTTAAATGACATTCATTTTCGATTTCAGATGTAAAAGTAATCAAGTCATTCAATTTACAAATTATAACGTCATTTTTGCGAATCCTTTTAAGGTGTGACAAATTATCGAATGGAAGATATTTATTTAATTCAAAAATTAAAGAAGAAAATTGTTTCTTTTCCGCAATGCTTGCTACATAAACCGCTTCTAAGGGTATATGATCTAGAAAATCATCCGAAAGAATAGATTTTATATTAATTTTTATATTATCCAGTTTTAAACGTTTTTTATTGGGCTCCATTTGTGACCTGAAAAGATAAAGTAAATGACAATCGAAAATATAATGGAAACAACTTTAAATTTAAGTAATAAAATAAAGAATTAAATTTATTTTTTTATTTTTAAATTGGTGTACATAATACATTGTCACTGCAACAGCGGTAAGTAAAATAATATTAGTTATTTGTTACAAATTTGTTAAAGAAAAAACCTTGTAGTATCCCCAAATTTTCAAAACATTCATCTTTTATAAAAAAAAAAAAATATTTTACCGATTTCTATAATAGTTATACATAACGAATTGAGCCTATTTCTATAATAGTTATACATAACGAATATAGGCATTAATATTTAGTCTGTAAAAAATCATATACATACACTAAGTCCTCGAGATACGACATCTTCTAATACGACATTTCGAGTTACGACATGATATAAATTTGGATCATTTTTATTCGGCTTACGACATTGTTCCTAATACGACATTGAAAATTTAAAAAAAAAATTGTTTTTTTTTTTTGACAGATTTTACTGTTTTGTGAATAAAAATCTATACCGAATTTAGTTATAAGACGAGACTAAAGCAGGTACTTCAATAATAAACTCTTTCTAGTTAAAAATTTCGAGTCAGTAGTTAAGAATACGAATTGAAATGATAAAAAAACAACTTAATCAGATTTTATTTTATTTATTTTTGTTACGACATTGAATTTTTTTGGTTTTGTTTTTTTAAACTTTGTCACCTTTTTTAAAAATGAATGGTTAATTATTTTATAACATAGTTTGTCTAATTCACTTTTTGTTTCCATACATTTTTTTCCCTCCTCAAACGACAATTCGAGTTACGACATAAATTTCTGGAACCAAAAATGTCGTATCTCGAGGACTTAGTGTACATATGAATACCTAAATATGTATGGTCTAATAGTTCTCTAAACAGAAAACTATCTTGAACTTTGAATTTTATTTAAATCCATTTTTCAGACTCGTTTTCCAAAAATACATGTACATACATATTTATATTTTAAATAAAAATGTTGATTTTAATTAATATAAATATTCAAATTTAACAACTAAAAGATTTAAAACTAACCGTGTCTCAACTCCTTACATTATTAGTATAACTAAAATTATATGTACATATATGTCTATTACTTTTTCCAAAATGTGAGTGAAACAATCTTATTATAAATAAAAACTATCAGCTTAATTTATTTTCCATTGATTTATTTAAAATAGAAAAGAACAAAATTATTTTTTCACACAAAGAAAATATAAAATAAAGTTTAAAATTCCGATACATACGTAGTTTAAATAAAAGTTATTTTAGTTCTCGCTTGATTAACTTGCCAAACATTCAATTCTTCATAATCTTCAATACATTTATCGACTTGATCTGGTTTGTATCCCTTTGTCGTGCATCTTTCCATAACATCACTAATTTTAACTGTTTTACTTGATCCAGCTAATTCTCGAATTAAAGCAAAAATTTTGTCTGATGTATTTGGAATGTGACCTCTTTGATACTCATGTATTTGATTTAAAGAATCTTTTGACATAGCAAGTAATCTGAGTGCTTCTGTGACATCATCTTTTTCAACTTTTTCTGCCAAACGAAGTCTAGCCAAAGCTGTTGACAAACGCAATATTCCCAGTAAATTTCTGGCTGAAGTGAATGTCATATCCTTATTATTTCTTGCTTCGCGCCTTAATTCAACATACGCGTTTACAATATAATCAGTTAATTCTATTGGTATTACTGGATTTATTCGCTTACATAATGCTAAATAACGCCTCATTAAGCCCATATCTAAAGATTTGATACGACTTGGCGGTTGTTTTCCATGACTATGAACAAATGTGATATGCTTAGCAAGTCGTAAATCGTTGTCACGATCTGGTTTATCCTGTATTAACCATAACAAATCAAAACGAGATAACAATGCAGCTGGAAGTTGAATATTTTGTTCAATTGTACGGCGAGCATTATATCTACCAAACGCTGGATTCGCTGCAGCTAAAATTGATACTCGGGCATTTAAAGTGGTCATGATTCCAGCTTTAGCAATGGAAATTGTTTGTTGTTCCATAACTTCATGAATCGCGGTACGATCTGTTTCCGCCATTTTGTCAAACTCGTCAATGCAACATACACCTTGATCAGCGAGTACTAAAGCACCACCTTCTAATATTGTTTCACCAGTAAGAGGATCTTTCATTACAGCAGCAGTCAAACCAACGCCAGAAGAACCACGACCAGTAGTATATTGACTACGCAAAGCAAGTCTGCTTATATAGCTCAACAATTGAGACTTCGCAACACCAGGATCCCCCATTAAACATATGTTTATGTTGCCCCTAATTTTCATCCCATCTGGCCGTTTATCAACGCCCCCTACAAGTAACAAGAGCAAAGCCTTTTTAACATCAATGTGACCATATATTTCTGGGGCTAAACTGCAAGCCAATCTTTCGTAAAAATCTTCCTGTGCCAAATCGACTAATTCTTGTGGTGTTAATTCAGAATTTTTTTCATCAATTTCATCACTTTTGTTGATACAAATGATACGATGAGCATCAATAAAAGTTTCTGATAAAAGTCCAGATACTAATTGTCTGAAACCAGTTCTCATGAGGGGTAAGAAAATTCCAGAAACACATACATGATCTCCAGGCTGACCCATTCTTGTCACTTCCCCACGGCAAAATATAGTTAATGTACGAGGAATGTGTCCTACAGGTACCTGATCGCTGTGTTCTTGTATTTTTAATTCTTGAAATTTTAAAAATTTTGATCCCCTAGTTTGCAAATATAATCTTCCTCCGGCTTTGTTTACCCGACAATCATCCGAAATACAATCTGTAATGGGCATAAATGTCATTGAATTTACTGGCTGATATGTTTCGGCACCACAGCGGTCGCAAGTGTATGTAGCAACTATCATCATTGGTTTTACTTCAGTGCATCTAGTTACGATGCCTCTCACTGTTACTAACTTTCCAATGTGCTCTGCTTTAATTTGCCGGATAGATAATGGTTTTTCGATAGATCTGGGTTTGAAACTAACTTCAAACCGTTTCATTAATTCTGGTGGAAAACGATTTCTTTCATCTCTTTGCTCCATTGGGTTTCTCGTCCTAGACTCCATTAATAATCGATGCTCAATATATATATCAAGAGCATCTTTTGCAACGTTGTCTCTTTCTTTGTAACTCGGGATTAATTCCATTATTACTTCTGAAAATATTGATAAATAACGTCTTGTGTTGTTTACAATAGCGTCACTCAAAGACTCATTTACATCAGCAACATCGTCCAAATCTATTGTCATTAGAATTTGGTCACGATGTGCTAAACGTGCTAATTGTGCTGCATATTTGAATATTTTTCTACCATCATCATCACTTTCACAAAATTCTTGCAAAAAATTTTTTATAGCCTCTTTGTCTTGGATATAATCTCTTCTAGCCATTTTTCAGAACTCCAATATTTATACTGCTCTTTCTTAAAATAAACGGGTTGTAGTAATTCTTTAATTTTTTTAAATTCCGTTTACCTTAAAAATCTTTCACCTTTATTTTTATTCCAAACTGAATTTTGACTTTTATTTTTAAGAAAAAACTTTTCAGACTTGAATTAAGGAATGAGAAAATTAATCAACTGAACGTTCCTAAACTTTTTTAGTTTTTGGCGGTAAATTTGTTTAACGAATGAATCTGCCTGACTTGCCATTGAAAATCAAAACATATTTGACAGACCAGTTAGAATAATGTTGTTGATTTTGACATTCAAATTATTTACTTTCGTTCAATTTGCCTTAATACAAATACGTTCAGCTGTTTGACGATTAAAGCAATTTATTGATAAAATGTGAACGCGGTATGCGGTGTAAAATAATTAGAATTACCGCATTATTGGTAAGCCAAAAAAAAAAGTTATCATTTGTTATTATTGCTATAAATAATAAATATACACGTAATGGCAAAAATATAATTGATGTTTGAATAAAATGTCAAAAACAATGAAATATTTTTTTAGTTCCAACACCATCTGCATGGAAAAATGTTGCTTTACCATTTGGGTATATATTTTAGTATTGCGCACCGGCAAACCATATCTTATTACCCACAAAAATCAAGCGTAATAAGTGTCATTTTTATTAAAAAGTAATTCCTAAAAGAACAAATGGTGCTAAAACTATAATTTATTTCGTTCGTAACGGACGAAACGCAACATTTGATACAAACATATCTTATGGAAATTAATAAATTGGAATTCCCTACTGCATGAAAGATATTATTAAAATCCTTTACTTTGAATTTCAATTTGAAGTTTTGCAATGTGCTTCAGTAATAATTATAAAAAATATAGAAAATACTTCGGGAGGAGCACATTTTTTCATACACATTTTTGTGGATGTACTCACATATTTGTGTTATACACGGTACTCCGTGTTTCTATATACACACACTCCATACACACATGTTAGTACATTTTTACTAGCTTTTAAATTTTTTCTTATAGAAAACATTTTGAATATAAATTTACATACCAGGAAAAAAAGCAATTATCCACTTCTGATTGTATTAAAAAATTACACTTTCAGTAATATGAAACAACTTTGATAAATAAAAATAAAATACAATAGGTACTTGCATATGTTTACATTTTTTGTTGACAGTTGACATTTCAGGGTTTGGTAGGTACCGTTTTCAATTAACAAATTTAAAGTGCTGTTCAATTTTTTGAACGAAATTATGAAAACTTTTGTATCATCTTTGTTTGAATTATTTTGGTGTAGTTTACAACAGAATGCTTTGCTTAAAATATTTGATACTCCTTCGTCACTTAATACAGTTTGACATGAATGTTTTATATTTTAGTTGTAATTTTGTATGAACTGTAGGTATGTAAAATTTGTATAAGATACGTATGTATATTTTATCTTCCAATGTACATACTTAACTTCGTATTTTTCTTTAAAAACATATTTTTGATTTTAAAAACCATGGCTATAAAAGATGAAATATATAAAAACTAAAAATTTAGGACCAATATGTAGTGCCATTAAATTGCTCAGAGTCACAAGTTTCAAAAATTGTCTCAAACATGCTAGAGTAACGGTTAACTTGTGCAATATGCATGTAAATAAGGAGATGTAAACTGGCTGCAACCATTGTATTTTGTAGAGAGAGAACATACTTGCATATAATATGGATTTCGTAAAGTTCTCTACTGCAGGCAAAAAAAGATTAGTAAATTTTCCAATGGAATTTACGAAAACTTAAAGCGTACAGACTTTTCCATTTGACTAAAAATGCGGTCTCTAAAACAACACTGGAACCCGTATTTCATATTATTTAGTTTTCATGAATGCAGCATCGTAGTTTCGATAAGTTTAATTACCAACTATGAAGATTAGCATTTAAGAAATGAGTTTATTAATATGTCAATCATATATTTTCAAAAATTTCTTAACATTTTATATTTTCTTAATGTTAATCAACACAAAAAAAAAACACTTATTTATTTGTTTATTTTTTTTATTTGAAACGTTTTTTTTTATGTAAAACACGTTTTAATTTTAGTTGTATTATTATATTTGTATAAATAATCATTTTAAATACTAGGCTTATTAATAATTTCATCTTTTTAAATTTCATTTTTGTTTTAAATAAATCATAAATTAGAAAATATTCATACATATTTATATCATCTAAAAACTAATCAGATCTTTTGAAATAAAAAATTTTTGGGAAAATAATTTAAAATTTAAGTTCTTAAATACTTACTTTTAATTACTTTTAAATACGTACAATAAATCGTTTTAAAGATCATCAATTCACTTTTTTTGCACATTAAAAGTCAACCAACCTTCATAAAACAACATGAGAGCAATATAATTTACTATAACAAAAATAATTAAAAAATTAATATATTAAAATTTTAACAAAGAGCAGTAAGTAATTTGCAGTAAAATTTTCACGGTTAATTGTATATTTACTAAAATTTAGCAAATTTATCAAAGATTACTTATGCATATTCAATAAAACAAATTAGATTTGCCTAATAATTTTGATTTGTAGTATTATTTTGGTTTTATAGAAAGGGGAAATCATTTTAGATTATATTATATTATAGGAGAGTAGAATTATTTCTTGATATAAATTAAATCCTGATTAAAATTATATATTAGTTTAATTTTCATTAAGAACTATTTCCTGCTATTGGAAAAAAATCCTTTAGCAATGTTGTTCTCCTTTTTTCAGCAATATCCATTTGATTTTCTAAGTCACCTAAATCCGTTGTCTCTGCTCTTTCGATTTTCCATGACAAATTTTCAATTTCGGCTTCTAGCTGGGCCTGAAAGTGATATATAAACAATTTATAATTATTTGTAATGTTTTATTCGTTTACCTGTTGATATTCGAAGAGATCTTTTCTACTACCAGCTTCCATGAAATATGCATAAGGGTATGTATATTGCAGTGTGTATCTACATTTAGCTAACAATCCTGCCGCATTAAACAAATATTGCCAATCAATCCATGTACCCCAACCTTTCATAACTTTTTCATTAACTCTAGCCCTTAATCTATCAAGAGTTTGTTGTTCTAATTGTAACGATTTCGAATGGTTTTCCCAACGCTCATAATAATGTAAATATTTTTTTAAAGCCTCGCGTGCTTGAGCATGAACTGATTCATTTGCAATATTTGGGTTATCACGATATCTTGAGCATTCATAATATTCAGAACCATGAGATTTCCAATCTCCCAAACACATCCAACAAAAATCATGTTTACAATGGAAACACTGCATGTGATTACAACCACCATTTTTTTCAATACATATATGACACTTTGGACAGTCTTTGGTGTTGGCACTAATATAATTAGCTGTTTCACTATCGTCAGCACATTTTGTTAACCATTTTTTTATGACTTGACAATCAGTTGGCGCATGGTAATCAGTACTGCATTTGAAACAAAATGATGTGTTGCACGATTTACATACGGCTCTTTTGGGTTGTATATCCTGACTACGAATTATAATTTGACAATTAGGGCCCGGGCAATAACGTAATTCTGGGTGAGATTTTACGTAATCCTGAAATGCAAATTTTTGCCATTTTTCACGTAATATTGGTCTTTGTACTAAATTTAAAACAAAATCTTCTGGTACTCTAACATTACACATTGGAGCCATACATCCGATTTGAGTTGATATACCTTGAAATATTTGAGTTTCAAAATGCATGGACCAACAATCTTTGCAAAAAGAATGACCGCAAGCTAAACTATGAAAACGATCTATAGATTGGGTATTTACACACACCGGGCATAAAAGACTAGCAGTTCGTCTTGAAGTTGATGGTGCCGTAAAAATAGTAGCTGAAGTAGTTACTAAATGTAAGGCAGCACCTTGCGATGTGGATGGTATAGAAATTTGCGTTATGTTCGAAGCGGATTGACTCAGTGGAGGTTTGATTCGTGCACTAATTAGTAAATTACTGGCATTTTCACGATATTTTTCAATGATATTTTGAATTGTCCATTTATGTTCATGAAGAAGCACCTTAGCTAAAGATGGCGTTATTTGCAAAATTGTGCTAAGTTTTTCCACAGATTCATTTAATAATTTTTCAACTTCTTCTACATTTAAACACTCAAATTCAAAATATTCCGGATCGGTTTTTTTCGGGTCTATCTGCTCGATATCACAATCTTCTCCTAAAAAACAAAAGGGAATATTTAAATTAAAATAAAATCAAAAGAAAGTTAAAAAAAGAAAAACGTAACAAAATTTGCACTGATATAAGCCCAAAAACCAATAATTGTTATTTAAGAAATTTTTTGTAGTAATCTTTGGGTTCAAAAATATGTAGGTAGGCAGCTAGGTACCTATTTTGTAGGGAAATAATGAAAATATTTTGCAGGAAAATTAGGTTTAAAGAAGTCTTGTTTACATAGTGGACATTCCGGGAAAATATAGTTATCTAATGTGGTGTATAGGAGGCGAATTTAATGTGGTGTCACTATGGACGAATTTATTTAGTTAATTCAAATTACTTTAAAAATTTCATACATAAAAGCAATGTTGAATTTTCAAAATAACTTAAGAACGGGAATCACTCGTTTGCTTTTTTTACTGCAGGTAGAAATCCTATTAAAGTCAGCTATTTTTTCTTGTTATTTAATAGGTTTTTTCATAATAAGAAATTTGGTACCTATAAGAAAGAAAACATTTTGTTTTCTTAATAATTATTTTACAGGTGAAAGATACCTTCATAGTGCTTATATTCTTTCGTATAATTGTTATGTATTATGTTAGCATGCGTTTATATTCTAAGTGAAATTTAATTTCAATAGGTGTCTACATAATTATTTTGTTATAATTAAATATTTACGGAAGGGCCTTGGAATTTGTTACGTTAACTTTACAACTTCATTTATATAAACAAACAACTATATAATACTCATTATGCAAATACCTGAATTGTAATAATCTTCAATATCGTTATCATATTCCATTTCTTCATTGTCTTCATTTTCAGACATTTTTTTTGTTCACTCACTCACAATTAAAATAAAAATTTACTTAATTATAATCGATATAAAATTATGAAAACTTATTTTTCTGAATATTGCACAGATTTAATTTTTCCTCTCTTCAGAAAACACTTTTCACAAGTATTTTTTTTACAAATTCGCAGATTATAATAAAACTATGTACTTCCACTATTGACTATTTACTACACTACTATGAAAAAAAATAGAGTTTCCACACTGTAACAGTAAGTTTTTTTGACCAAATTTCAACATTCCAAAATTGACGTATTTACTCATAATTTTCAGTTTTATTCTTGACATAATAAAAATATACCATTTCTTCCAGCCATGGTTTTATTATGTTGTTACAAATAATATTTGTTGTTTAGTTGTTAGTAGAAAAAATAATTTCTAGGAGCAAATCTACTTCGTGACTTAGCTATTGTAAAGTAATTTGTAATTAGGAATTTGTAAAGTAAAGGCAACACATAGCAAAAAAAGCTTATATTCATCTATTTTCTATATTATTTTTCATAAGTTTGTATATCATAACTTTGCGTTTTTGTTACCTTTTTATAGTTGTTAATTTAACAACATAAAAAACTGGATAAACTTTTGGAATTTGATATCTTAATTTTTTTTACGACGAACTTCTCCCACACATTTTTGGTAAATTAACGTTGTCCAACTTTGTTTGTTGAAACTGTCAAAACGCGCTCATAATATTGCAGAAATTTTGTTTTTAACAGATTACAAAAAGCTGTCAAACAAAATTATTTGAGTGACATAACATTTTTTCGTCAGATTTATAGCGTCAACAAAATTTATAACACTTCAAAATGTACTAGTGACACCTATTGTAAAATATAAAAAACTTTTCGGAATTCGCGAACTAAGTACAAATTTTATATTTTTAGAAACACTTTACTTTAAGACTAAGAACAATAATCCGATTTATTTATTGATGCGTATTTAAATTACTTTAATGTTTATAAATAAAAATGTAGATCGTTTTATGATAATGCGTCATTATATTATTTTTAATCATTCCATTTTTGGACAATCTTTTGTAATTTCGAAATAAAAGAAATATTTTTCTCTTCCCCATAGGGTAAATTTTCGTTATATATTTATATACAATTAGATTTTTACATTTTAAAATTAAAATCAAGTATAAATGAGGTACATATTTCGATAAAAAAAATCACTAAAAAATACCTTTTATATAAGTTTATCTATTAATTTATTAAGCATTTTCGTTTATTAAATGAAGTGTGAAAATAAATAAAAATTCTACTTCTACTCTTTTGAATGCATTTTTATATAGCTTTCTAAATGAACTGGTATTGAACCTTCATATTTTAACTTGTGTTTAGCAATACATCTGCTCGACAAACATTTTAAAGATATATGTTGTGCTTCATAATGTTTCAATAAATGTTTAATTGATTTATCTAAACTGTATTCCGCTGCAGTTAAACCATGTTTATTAACAGCATCAAAATGAATGCCTGCTTCATTAAAAATTTTAATAATTTTTTCTACAGTTTCAACCAATTCATCAGTAACATGAAGCATAGTCATTACCAAAGTATGTAGTGGAGTATCTTTATCACAGTCAACAGTCGCTATAGATGCTCCGCAATGTAAGAGTAATTTTACAGTGTCTAATGAAGGAAATCGACAAACATCACTTGTATGAAAGTCATCAACTGGTGTAATACTATTCACAGCCAAGTGCAGTAATGATTGTCCATCTTTTAATTTTGGATTAATTTTATTTATTTTTAATATTAAATTGTATAATTTATTAAGGTCTTCTACACTTAGTGTTGAAGTTTTCCTTCTTAAAGTCTTTGCAACAATAGTAAGTAAATATAAGGCAGTAATTATATTTTGTTCATATTCTTCAGCAAGCATTGCCGGATCGTACTTCGGATCCGGATTTAAAATTCTAATTCGATTTTGTTCTAATTCGTCAATATTAGCTTCAATCAAATCAAGAATATGAGTAAAATTAAATTGCAAGCCTAAATGCAATATTTGAGAATATAATTGAGCAAATCGTAATAGATCTCTTTCTATTGATATTTTATTATCTTTCCTAAGTTGGAGAGCATAAAACCACAGTTTTTCACATTTATCGAAGATTCGTTGATCAGCGTATATGGCACCACGAAATATAATTGCTTGAGGAAGATCAGGATATTTTTTACTTAAAATTCTTTCACGTATTGTTAAGGATTCCATATGAATCGAATTGTAATTTAATCTTATTGCTTGCAATTCTTGAGGATTTTGACTTTCAATCCAATCATCATATGCTAAAATAGGTCTTGTTAATTTTTTTTTTATTATTTTTTCAGGATTTTCATATCTTAATTGCATCCCCATACTTAAATATTTATGTGATTTAGATATGCTGTAATTATCCTTATCATTTGCAAATGACGCACCCATTAATTCGTATACATCAATTTTTTCTTCTCGACTCAACAAATTTGGCCATTCACAAAACATATTTACTACATCTTCATGTGTTCTGTCAGCTGCAGTTAGAGCAGCACTTAAACCATGTTCATTTGGAAGCAATTTGGCACCATATTCCAATAGTACTCTACAAACATGAGTATGTCCACATTCTGCAGCATAATGCAAAGCGGTAGCACCACACAACGCTTGCAAATTTGGATCAGCACCTGAACTTAACAAAAATTCTACAATATCTGATACTCCTTTGTAAGCTGATATCATTAAACATGTATTGTTATAAGTGTTTGTACTATTAACCTCAGCGTTGTGTTTTATTAAATATCTAACAATGTCCAATCTTCCCACAAAACATGATATTCGTAGTGGGGTTGAGTGAGATTCTGTCTTATGATTGACATTAGCTCCATAACGAATTAGCAGTTTAACAATATTTATGTGACCAGCACCAGCGGCACACCAAAGCGCAGTTACACCAGAAACTATGTGACCATCAAATTTTACTGTGCATTCTTTTTCTAAATCCACCTTATAACTGGCCAACAGTGACTTCACAAGCAAATATTTACCAAATGTGGCAGCTACTACTAAAGGTGTAAAAATTTGGCCATCTTCTTCCTCATAAAGTTGATTAATTACGAAATTTTTTGCTTCAGGGTTTTCTATACTATTTAGAATAGTTAACAATCTCAGTGGATGGCCATCTTTGGCAGCAAAATAAACCGACTCTCGAATATTCGCATTAATATTTTCTAGAAAACTTGGACACTCCTCAAACATTTTAAATAATTTTATATAAATAAATTAAATGTAATAATTTTCTTTTCTTTTGTTTTAAACTTAAAGCACTTTGTGAATAATCCTTTTGTTTTAGTTTTTACGTTCCTTTTATCTAAAATTTTGACAAGTAGAGAAATGCATATCACACAATAGGAAAAATTAAGTCAACATACGCGACATCTTATGGATAATTTATTAGTTTATTAAAAGCTAACGTTAAAGTTCAGAAAGAAAGTTCCTTTTCAGAAAGAAGAATAATTATTGATTGTTACTTCCCACAAACATAGCATTCTTCCTATTTAATTTTTATAAGAATAATGCTATATTTGTGGGAAATGACCGTGAATCGATAAAATATTTCGAAACTTGACGCTTATCACTATTATCTATAAAGTTTTTTTCAACTTTTTCTTCTGGTTAACTTTTTGATTGACGGTCATTTCCCCACAAATACACCACTTCCTATAAAAAATAAGAAGGAAGAATTCTATTTGTAATCGGAATGACCGTCAATCAGTTGGATTGAACTAAAATCTGAATTATATAATAAGAGATCATGCAATATATGTATCTACTTGTATTTATTTTGTTTCCTGCATCATGTTTATACCCGTACGAACGTATGTTCGAAGTATATACTAAATTTGCCTTACCGTTTTTAATGCTAAGAGATATAGACTCAAGTGTATGTTTTTGATCAGCGGAGAGTTCTGAGTCGATTTCTGTCCGTCCGTCCATCCCAACGATAACTTAAAAACTAAGTTCACCGATTTTTCACAAATTATTTATTATAGTAAATGTCAGAACCCTATTTAAATTGGATATCATCGGGGTACTGGTTCGGGTAGCTGCCATACTACTTCAATAGTAGTTTGGCCATATCTTAGAGAATATTGAAACCAAAGTACTGAAATTTTGCATACATTAATAGAGTAATATGGCAACTAAACGTCATAGTCTGTCCCATCTATGATAGCACATAGAATAACAAATTTGTACGGGTATCACACAGTTCACATGGTCAATTCAATTTTTTTTCGTTTTATTTTATACTTAACTGTTTGAAATTTATTCTTGCAATATATTTATTCAATAATTTATGCAAAACTATGATATTGAAACTTTATTTAGAAAATAGTAGGTACCAGTTGTTTAAATAAATGACATTGATATACAATGAATAGTAATTTTCTTCATTATTTATTAATTTAAAACTTAATCTTGCAATTTAATCTTTAACTAAAACTACAAATTCTATTTAATAAAAACATAAAAATTCAATGATATTTTAACATTCGGGTTTTTTGAAATTACCATAAATTTGTATACCAAATAATAGATTCTTTTGTATGTACATATGCTTGTGCTCTAAGGTATTTAATCAACTTAAATCCCTTTTTTATGAATAATCCTTGTGCTTTATTATAATTTTTGCGTATAATTTTGAAAAATTATTATAATTGTGAATAGAAAAGTGACAATAATACATATAACATATTTTGGTTAATGAAAAAGGATATATGGATACCTTTCATATTTTAATTTAATTAATTTTTAACCTTAAGCTAGTGTGTAAGCATAAGGGAGTTTCATTATTAAAATTTTTATTTATTCGATAACTATGTGCATATATACATATTTATGTATGAATTTATGCAGATTTTACGTATTACATTTTTCTTTTATGTATGATTATTATATAACTTTATTCTTTTAGGGCCCAGGCAGACATGTTAGTTTTGCAATTACTGCTTTGTTGTAAAATCGTTGCACGCTCATCTAAGGAATTAAACTATATTGCGTCGAATTCAAATCGATTGAGTTAATCAGTTTGCAATCAGTTTACTGTTTGATTGCTTAATTACATTTGATCATACAGTTGCATGTGTTTCGCGCTTGAATACAAACCTATAGAATACAAATAGGCAATCAAACAGTTGCATAACTAAAAATTGCATATTAACCTGAGCCGTGAATATCATTTCACAAAGTATATGTATTTCGTACATAAGTATTAAAATTTAGTTGAAAATATACATATACGTACATATTTAAGTACATATTTAATAAGATGGAACTAAATACTCGTACATTTGAAGTGGTTTTTATGTGTGATCTGCAATTGTAACGAAACTTTAACTTACTTATATGTAAGTAGAAAAAAATAGTTAATATAAATCTATTTTTATATACATACATACATTTTTCATTATACATATATACGTATATTCCGTAAGGGCTTGTAGTCATAAATTAAAAATGCATTGAAAAAGAAAATGGATTTTTTTTTAACGGGTACACTTTTTTTCAGTAAAAATATCTACAGGAATGTGAGCATAAATTTTGACCTATTCCATTTTTCAAATTAAGTTCTTTAAGGTTACGAATGTATTATTGAATTAGTTTTCTAATTAATTTCTTTCATTCAATTTTAATTTTTTTTTTCAATTTTTCATTTCATTTTTTCCTATTATATTTCATTTCTTTAAAAAGAGAAAAAGGACAGCTAAATTATTTGTGTGTAATTAAATACGATTGAAATAATTAAATTTCTTTAGGTTGGGCAAAAAGTAAACAATTTTATATTTTTGGTATAAAACAGGGAAAATTGAATTGACTGCGTATCTCTTCGGGTAATTTTTAATAAAAAAAAATATTATATTTTTGTATGTGTGTGTGTTTTTTCTATTGAGAAAAAGTGTACCTGTGTACTTTTTTTTAAATGTTTAAGATTAATTTCGAGAATTCCAACTGATAATGAAGTATAATAAATATTTTAAATTGAAAATATTTTAATTTTTATTTCTAAACTTTAGGTTTTAATTTAAAGTTAATTTTTCAATTATTTGACTCATAATTTTATATTTACCGCTCCCATCTGATTGCCATCGTACGATACAAACTTACTTTATATAAAACGTATTGAATCAGTCCAAACGAATATGGTTAGATTTTGTTTATGTAAATTTACTGGTCCAAAAGAATATTACTAGTAACATTATCAAAATTAAACTTATAGTTATTAACAGACTGTAGAATCCAGAAGAAATATAGCATCGGTTATGTTTTCTCACGATCTGCCATAATCAATTGCTCTTATACTCGTATTCTAAATTTATATAATTTTTATGCGCCAGTTCATGTTTTTTCTCCGAATCTATTTCTCAACGCTTATTTAATATCTACTATTCTGAAGTTTATTTCCATCTTAAAAGAGATAGATTCCGAAGAGAAATCGCCAAATATTTTTAATTGAACAATTAAATATATTTGATAAAAAATTTAATGAATTTTGTTATTTTGAATTGCTATAAGAATATTTGTCTTAATTTTGAATCTCTACATTTTTATATTCTAGTTATAATGGTAAAATTTATATTTTGACGGTGAATACTATGTTGTACAGTACACCATGTAGTATAAAGAAATTAAACTTTTTAATCAATATGTTGCTTTTGGTTATCAATTTTTGTTTTCCATGCAAATCCATTTTATGTACAATAGAAATGTATTTAAACCGCTGGGAATGAAAATTTTATAAAAATTACAAATGTGATCTATGAAATATATACATACATGTATACCTATTTTATTTAACTATGTATATTTAACTATGTATATGTATTATATATCATACATAATATGTTGTTATTTAGATTTATTATTGTTATATTAAGTTTAATTTTGAAGTTGTGTATAAGCAAAAACATCGAAAATAAAATCCTTGAATGCGAAACGTTCTTTTTAATATGAAAAATTTTTGTCATGGTTTGTACATATCACTCAATAGGGATAGATTTGTAATGTAATTTCCACTTTGCTTATGGTAAAAGTCGTAAATCAACATTGTAAACAAAATTTATTTAAGTTCAATTTAATTCTAAAGACTATTATGAAAATGTTGGATAAAATCAACAATATTCTTAAAAAATTACACAGACAACTACCTTGAACTTCAACATGTTCGTTGACATGGACTTCCCCCATATCAATGAATATCACCATATAGCATCTCATTAGGAAAAAAAACCCACAAAGTAAGAAACCTTCAAGTAATTACATATATGCTATACACTAACTAATTCCTCGTCCACACATTTAGTACATATTCTATTTTTACAGAAATAAAGCGCAAATAAAATATTGTAGAAGGCGCTGTAGTAAAAATTTCACTAACTCAAATAAAAGAGTGTTATCGTTGCAGAACGAAAATGTCGCTGTATGAATTAAAATGTCGCAAAATAACGTATTCTTTGTCGCTACATGAATTTACGTTGTATGAGGTGTCGTTATACGAGGAATTTGTATAAGTAAATTTTCAATTTTTGTGCACATACGGAAATTAACTGTTTTGCGGGTGCTTTGTCACTAAATAGCCAATTAACGTTCAAATTTTTTTATTATTATGGAAACATTTAATTTGAAGACTGAAACATGTAGTTGAATAGCTCTGTAGGTTATTTATATAAAAATATTATTAGCCAAAATTTTGAAGTGCTTCTGATGAAATGTTTAACACATACTGTTATATTTAGTTTGTGCTATACATATTTATAATTATGTGCATAGTATAAATTCTGTTATAAATAAAATAAAAATAAATAAAAAAGCAATTTGATTCTAAATTTATTTTATTTTTTTATTGTTTTTGTTTTTTCTTCTTTAATTATTCAGAAAATATTTTTAATTTTATACATATGACATATACAATGTATAATATTTTCAATACAGATATGTGTTTATATATGTATATATATATAGATATTTAAACTAAATTTTTAATTTATATCACTTACAAGTTTTTTGCTTATATTTTTCAATATTGTTTTTCAAAGACTATTTTTTTTTTAGATTGCAAATTATATAAGTATAATGTTATTTTTTTCTTAAATTTTTTTTTATTTTTTAAAAGTTAGCACACGAAAATTTTTATTAAAAGATTTTTACGAATAAATTTTCATTTTTGATTTTTTTTTTAACATTTTTTTTTTTTTTAATTTTAGAGAAAAAATGTTTCATCGTAAAGTTTTTTTCATATTTTAAATTTTTTAATGTTAAAAGGTTATTATGTATGTAAATGTTTTTGTTTTTTTAG